TAATCAAGATCTAATCAAATCTAGAATCAGTTAGAATTTGCCATGTTAAAATCATACACTTAAGCTGGTTTCTGCCTCAGCTTTCTAATAAGGACAGGTCAAAAAATACCATGTAAAACTACATACATTTCCTCCTTTCAGCAATTTCTATAATTATGCAAGACCTCTAGATATTTCTCCATGTGGACAGTCTTTATCAAGTAAATGGATATATGTCCTTGCACACAGGGAACTTGACCTTTGAATATTTAGCTGCTATGGTCTGTATTGTACAGCTATCCTTACATAAGGGCAAAAATTAAATGCAGCCTTGAGATCTTTCCCACACCACAGCAAACTATCTGCCTACTTTGTCGGAGATGTGTAACTATAGCATAAGGTTTAATCATGCTTGTTAATGCTTAAGCAATTTCTCATCTACAAGAAAAAGCAGTTTGCTTGTGGCTTTGAATTCCCAGATTCTCAGAAGAAATGTACCTGTTTATTTTCTTAGCATATTGAGCTACCAGAAAATAAAAGGAGATAATTTTGGGACAATTAATAATTGTTTGAAAAGGGGGACTGTCACACTAATTACCTTTAACTGTTTGGGTGCAGTAAAAAGAACATAAAGTCACAAGGACTTCGTAAAAGTGTTTAAATTAGAAAAGAAACTACCAATTACCCTGCTGATTGGCAAAGCTCACCCAGCTGCACAGAGTGAATTTGAAACCTGTGATTCTTTCCAAGGTGAATATGGTGACAAAATGATTAGCCATTCTCAGTACACATCTATCTTAATTACAGCCTCTTCCCTTGTGATGATGCTATAGGCAGCCCAGCTTCTCCAGACACACACAGCTGGCATCTGCATCAATCTTGTTGACAAAGACACTTCTTGAGAGCATGTGCTATAACATTTTTTCTCTCCTGTGTAGGGCTTTGAAGCAAAAGCATTCCTGTGGGCTCTTGCAGCCCTTAGGATCAGTGGCTCAGCACTATCCTTTAACCACGTAAGTATTTGCTAAGGTGTGTATGTAACATGAACTAACACTGGGCTTTCTTTTGCCTTTTCTGCTGTCTCTTAAACTAGCAATAAAAATTCCAATAGTCAGGTCAACTTAATAATATACCTTCATGACTATATAGCACCTCCACCATGACAAGTTTCAGCTCTATGTTGTTTCAGAACAAGACTAGAGGATTGACAGGATTTTGATGTGCCACCTGATTTCACTGATACACTTGATGAGCAGCTGACAAATTTAGAAGAATGAGACCAATAGAAAATTGTGGCCATAATGCATTTAACTCAAGCAGCTGTGTATCAAATTGTGTTTACATAGTTAAAGGAAATTTATGTTAATAAACTTAAAAAAAAAAAAAATCAAATCTTATGAATAGCCCCAGTCTCCCATGTGGAGTTAGTGCAGGTAAATATTTCTGGAAATGATGTGCCAGAGTGTTTACATTAAACAGCAAAGATACTTCTCAATTACATAGGTTTCTGCTTAATGATTTTAGATGGAAGTGTGGAAAAATTAGCATGTCAGCTACACCTTTAATATTTAGTCTAACAAAAAATGGCTAAGAATTTCCTTACCTACATCCTTTTTTAATATAACACCACACTCCTCCTGAATTGGTAATTCACTTCATATAATTGTAGTTCCACAGAAAAAATAGACATATTTAAATGGAAATAATATATTTTAAATCTCTTTATTAAAAACAAAAAAAAAGGAGTTGGTGTACATAGATAGTAGTATTTTTTCAAAGTCTGTAACTTCATTAACTTAAAAGCAAAAATCCAAGCTGTTCGCATACACCCAAGGTGCTAAGATTGGACCATTTTATTTTAAATATTGTAAAACCATTTCTGAAGGACACCACCCTTATAGGATCTAAATATGAAAGAATTAGATTAAGAAAAGCAGCTTTTTGAAGTCTGGGTATGAGAAAACTGATACTGACAATGACATATTAATGTGCCAATGGTGAATAAATACAAGAACTTAAAATTCGAACTGCCAGCAATCTCATACATCATCTTTTTTTTTTTTTCCTTTTTGAAATGATGTAAAATATTCAAATGTCAGAACTATAATGTCAGAACTGTTTATAATGTGAAATGATGCACATTGCATATATTTATTATATTCCATTGATCAAACCAGAACCTGAGATAATAGTTGCAGATGATGGAGGACATTTCATGTGCAAATGGACCTGGATTTGAAATGAATTTGGAAGAAAAACGTTTTCATATTGAAGTGTTAATAATTGTTTCATTCAACCTGCACCAATCTGTGCACAGATTATTTTGCATAAAGCTAATGCTTCTAACAATAACTGATACTAGCATGATGCCTGCAGGGCACTGTCAGACAAGGAGAACATATGATATGATGTAGTAATTTGATAAAACTTGTTGCAGACTTGAAGGGGAATCAATCCCAACAGAACCATGGAGAGCTAGAATTTTCCCTTTGCAGACAGTTCATGCACTTTCATTTCAGCTCATGGAATTATTCTTGTCATTTATAAAACAAAGGTGAGTTGGTTTTAGCCTAGTTTCTAAGAAAATGAGGCATATGTGATCATGCCATCTGCAAATGCTTTCCCTGCACTCCTAACTACCACCTTCAGAGACAATTGCAACCCAGTTTGAAAGAAGATAGAAGTCTCAAAGAGATTAAATTGCTAAAAGCTTTCAACCAGGTATCTGGGCAGGGAAAAGATACCTAAATTAGTACTCCCTGTCAGGGAAAGGCAGGAAGAATTCAGCTGTTAAACAGGCTGTTTGGCAGAAGCCAGAAGTCCCATCAGCAGGGATGAATCACGATACCTTTTGCCTTTTGTCTCACACAGATATGGCAAAGAGCCCAGTGAAAGCAAATTATTTTGAAAAGGAGGACATATAAGTCAAAGGACACAGATCTCTGTGAAACCAGAGTTCTTTAAATTATTTGGTTTTAACTATACTTTGAACCTCTAATTTTACTCCACATAGATAAAAAAATTTCAGCATTTTTATAAAAAGTTAATTTGAAAGAACAGTAACAGAACCCTGTCCAAACCATCAAATTGTCACTTTATTTTAATTTGGTTTAATTACAGTTGGAATGAAACCAGGAATGGTAGACAACTTGTTAAGGAGCGTGCACATCTCAGGAATATTGTGATGACTGAGGTGTTCCCCAGAGAATTTACTCCAATTTTGAGTACTGATTAGAGAAAATGTTAGGCTAATGCAAACCAGGCTTTGTTCTTAACTGATCCGGATAGAACCCAGTCCTCCCTAGAAGTTTATGTCCGCACTTTAGATAGGTTAGAGAGCCCATACAGTATGAGTGTAGGTATGGAGAGCCAGAAGACAGACACTGAGAGAATGACCCCCTCCACAATCCAGGAGGACTTAGTCAGTGACCACTGCATCACACAGACACAGGTCTATGGGACCGGATGGGATACACCCGAGGGTGCTGAAGGAGCTGGCTGGGTGCTCGCCAGGCTGCTTTCTATCATTTATGAGCATTCCTGGCTGACTGGGGAGGTCCTGACTGATTGGAAATTGGCCATTGAGACACCCATCTATAAGAAGGATCAGAAGGATGATCCAGGAAATCACAGGCCTGTCAGCTTGACTTCAGTGCCGAGGAAGCTGATGGAGCAGCTCATCCTGAGTACCATCACACAACACATGTGGGACAACCAGGGGATCAGGCCCAGTCAGCATGGGTGTATGAAAGGCAGGTCCTGCTTGACAGATATCTCCTTCCATGACAGGGTGACCTGCTTATTGGAGGAGGGAAGGGCTGTGGATTTTTTTTACCTTGACTTTAGCAAGGCCTTTGACACCATTTCCCACAGCATTCTCCTGGCAAAACTGGCTGCTCATGTCTTGGATGGGCACACGCTTTGCTGGGTAAAAATCTGTCTGGGTGGCCGGGCCAAAGAGTTGTGGTGAACAGAGTTAAATCCAGTTGGCGGCCGGTCACGAGTGGTGTCCCCCAGGGCTCGGTGTTGGGGCCACTCCTGTTTAACATCTTTATTGATGATCTGGACGAGGGGATCGAGTGCACCCTCAGTCAGTTTGCAGATGACACCCAGTTGGGTGGGAGTGTTGATCTGCTCGAGGGCAGGGAGGCTCTGCAGAGAGACCTGGACAGGCTGGAGCCATGGGCTGAGCCCAACTGGGGGAGTTTCCATAAGGCCAAATGCCGGGGGCTGCCCTTGGGCCACAACAACCCCCAGCAGCGCTACAGGCTTGGGGAGGAGTGGCTGGAGAGCTGCCAGTCAGAGAGGGACCTGGGGGGGTTGATTGACAGCCGGCTGAACAGGAGCCAGCAGTGTGCCCAGGGGGCCAAGAAGGCCAATGGCATCCTGGCTTGTGTCAGCACTAGCGTGGCCAGCAGGGACAGGGAAGGGATCTGACCCCTGGACTCGGCACTGGTGAGGTCACCCCTCGATTCCTGTGTTCAGTTTTGGGCCCCTCACGACAAAAAGGACATTGAATGACTCGAGCGTGTCCAGAGAAGGGCAACGGAGCTGGTGCAGGGTCTGGAGCACAGGTTGTATGGGGAGCGGCTGAGGGAACTGGGGGGGTTTAGTCTGGAGAAGAGGAGGCTGAGGGGAGACCTCATCGCCCTCTACAGCTCCCTGAAAGGAGGGTGCAGAGAGCTGGGGATGAGTCTCTTTAATCAAGTAACAGGCGATAGGACAAGTGAGAATGGCCTCGAGTTGCGCCAAGGGAGGTTTAGACTGGCTATTAGGAAGCATTTGTTTCCAGAAGGGGTTGTTGGGCGTTGGAATGGGCTGCCCAGGGAGGTGGTGGAGTCCCCATCCCTGGAGGTGTTTAAGAGTCAGGCTGTCATAGTGCTGAGGGATATGGTGTAGCTGGGAACTGTCACTCTTAGGTTAATGGTTGGACTAGGTGATTCTTAAGGTCTTTTCCAACCTAGATGATTCTGTGATTCCATGAAGAAACTTCTTAACTCTGTGTCTTCTAGAAAGATTTAATTTTACAATATTTTTATTATTTTAATCATTAGTCTGAACAGTGTTCATAGAGACCAAATAAGTTATTTCTAGTGCATCAGATAGCTATTCTATTATATGTGGGCAAAGATTTGTGTTCAGTGACTGCCATAGTCATTAGCAAAGGAAAGAATAAAGGAAAGTAAAAGAGAGTTATGGAGTCAAGAGTAAAAATTGTCAGATACTCTGAATGTATCAAATATTATCTTCCTTGAAATGGTACCACAGATGCTACATCCACCATAGGATCCTTCACATGCTGTGTCTCCTGCCGCTCTGTATGACTTTGAGTACGTTGGAAAGGTCGAAAGTTTTCGTAATCAATTCCATTAGTCCCTCGTCTTTTTCCACACCAGTGATAAACTCTTCTAAAGTCAGTTCCCCTAAAAGAAAGTCAGATACTCCTTAGGAACTGAGAAACCCAGCAATCGCTCTCAATCCAACACAAGGCCATTCATGCCAGATTGAATCCTGCAGGAAGCTTCCCAGTTCTGTGATGATAGGCAAATGCAAGAAGAGTTTGCTAGTGTTTTCCCACTTTGCATTAGATCCTAGAACTCAGACTATTTTTTTTTCTGTTAAAACAGATCAAACATAGCTTTCACTGAAAGTTCTAAGACAGCTATGAGTGCTCAGTATCTGTGGTGACTTAAATGTGTGAAAAGATGCTCATGAAACCTGTATCAAGGCTGAATTTAGATATATGGATCAATTTTCACTGAGCTAACTGGAATTTATTTTACAGGTATTTTTAACAGAGATTAGAGTGTGATTTGCTGAAGATTACTAGGCATACTCCCCATGTTGACTACTAAGATTGTTTAGAGACATGATAAGATGTAGTAAGAAAAAATCAGTTTAGTAGTTTGATTAGATAAATTCTTCCAAGCAAATGAAATGGTCATTTAGAGTGTGATTTTTTGGGCTCTTGTCAGAATCAGATAATACCTTGGAAGCTGCAAAACAACTATAACATCTCCTTTATTGAGGAGCAGGAGCATTGTTTAGCATTTTTCCTCTTTTCCTGCTCTCTTCCCTGTCAGCAGAGACAAAGGCCAGTCCTAGCCGTGTGTGTCTGCTTGCATAGTACACAGGAGTTTATCCAATTCTCTGGTTAGAAGTTACTCCAGTGATACTGTTTTTCTCTGAGGGGAAACAGACCTTGGTTTAATAGGAAGATCTTGATCCTTTCCTCTGAGAATGGTTTAAAGTTTCTTGTTAAAATCACAACAATGATTGTTTTCTCACTGAAATGAGAAATGACAAGAGACGAGGCAAAGAAGAAAATAGCTGGATGACTTTGGGCCCCAGAGTGCAGGGGAGTAGCAATTCAAGTCACGTGCACTTCTGGTGAATACTTAGTTAGGTGCCTTTTGGCTATTTTCAGATTTAAGTACTCCCCAGAGGTTTCTTGTGGTTTGGTTTTTGTTCATGGCAACCTTGGAAACTTCTTCTGATGTGAAAAAGGAAAATGATCAGCATTTGAAAAATGTGAAAACTGCTTTCTACCCATGGGCCGTAAAGGCTGCTTCCTCTTCAGTCATATGGGTCCTCACTGAACTGGTGAGCAGGCTCCTATACATACCATTAGAGTGGAAAGATGTCTTTCAACAGAAGTCCTGGCTTTTAGGCTTCAGTGAGAGGAGTAAGATCCTGTCCAGGGGCTGGTGTGCAGTGCCCTGAGGATGCTTGTGCCTCCTCTTTCAACTCCCGCACCCCCTTCCATCCCAGAAGCAGAGACAGAGCACACCATCTCTGTATGCTTGTCTGCATCCTCCTGCTTTGCTGCTCATCCACTCACTTTCTCTGATCTCTCCTCCTATCCCAGGCACCTCTCTTACTTCCCATCCCCTTCCCTCTGTATTGCCTTTGACTGATGTCTTTTGGTGGATGGGGTTCCTGGACTTGTCAGATGGACATGCTGCATCATTTTCCTGCTTATGCAGGTCAACTGGTCTTGAATTCCCTCTTGATTCCAGGCTATATATTTCAAAGTATGAATACGAGCGTGCAAGCATACCAAACCCACTGCAGTTACCAGTGAGATGTGGTTACACTGACAAGTCCACACTCACTCAGATTTCTTGAGATAATGAAAATTGCAAAGCCATCAGGAGATTCCTTACAACCGTGGGATTATTTCTTGTATTTTAATGTGAGGAAGGACACTGCAACTTATTTGTCTGGCTGGCTTTTTCTGTAATAAGAAGCTACAAGGAGGTAGCATAGCTTAAGCTAAACTTGGTAAAATTTGTCCCATTCCTCAGGTGGAGCTAGTCCTGCTGCTTTGCAGTTATTTAAGAAACAACTAACTATGGAAGGCAGTTTGAAATGGGAGTATTATGAAGATAATTCTGAATAATTCATGTTCTGCCATTTCAGTGCTAAAATGTAAGACGCAAAAGTTATTTTTTCAGCTGAGGGTCTAGCTCAGATACCATTGTTACTTGCAGTAAACATATGGTCAAAGCAGGGTCCAAGGTATGAATAATCATAGAATTTTATTTAGATTCTAGAATATGACTGTATGTTATTTGGAGTCCTTTGGTTTGCCTTCACCCAAAAGATGGGCCAAGCAAGTGGTGGAAAAATCCTCTACAATTTATTCACATGAATCACAAGATCACTGTTTATGCGCTGATTATGTATCGCAAACAGCTTTTTTTAAAAGTAAACTTAATACACCAAAAAAGACCAGAAAAATGAAAAAAAAAATTGCCCACAATTCTGGACTGGCATCTGATTTTGCTCTGCAATGCTTTCTCAATAATCCTAATTTGTCAGTGATTGCAGTAATTGATGTAAAACATCAGTGGAAGGAGGATCTTCATGATTAGAAGTATGAGGGAAGACATTCACATGTGACAAGTTTTCTACTGGAAACAATTCTGAAGCAGTGAATTAAAGTTTTAGTTTCCAAATGCAAGTCCCAGTTGGCTTAATCTACCTATCTTGGGAAAAAAAACCAGTAGCATATGTCTTAGCATGTGTTAACAATCAGCCTTTAAGGACATCCAATATGCTGTCCAATCTTTACAACATGCTAGAGCATGTGCAAACATGCATCTTAATTGGTTTTCTTATCCATTTTAGATAGATTAAACCAACACAAATATACTGAGAAAACCCCCTTGGTCACACTTTCATTTTTCTGTGCAACCAGAGCACTGACATTTTGGATGAAGAGTGCAAGACCTCCATGTTTAAGCCCCTACTGCATGTAATTCCCAGGTCAGCTTAATCAACTCAGTTGATTTACACTTCACTGTAAAGCTGAAATAGTATGGGTGAAGAAGAACAGATTCAGGCTTTCTGTTAACCTAAACCAGTCAGGTCTTCAGTAGTGTGTTCAACTCCACTCTTGATCTCATGCTTCTTTATGGAGGAAAATCCCTGCCAATGCCAAGAAAACCTGGATTCTTACCGTCATTGTTCACATCTATCTTCTGAAATACCATGTTTGTGAACTCTTCAGGAGACATGCTGGTGTAGCCATTAATAGCCTGGATAGCCTGAATGCAGAAATGCAGAAAGTTCTTTCAGACTTTTTTTCCATCAAGCTAACAATACACTGACAACTGCAGTAATTTCAATGCAGCTCTTTAGTTCACCAACACTTTCAAAAATATCTAAATAAATAGCTATTTCAAGTAAATCTTTAGTAATAAGGATTGGAAATTTAATTAACATAACACAGCCTGAAGATTACAGACTAATTTACATATCTCTGAAGGTCTTCTGAAACCATGTGACACCTCTGCTCTGCAATACACTTTAGATTCCACACCAGCATTTTTATCTGGCCCTTGAGAGTTCTGTGTCTTCAGAGAGTGCCCTATGGTCTGTGTGATTTAAATGTAGTATAGTTTTTCACAGCTGAAAGCACATGACGAGAAAGCCTAAGTCATTTTCCTATTAAGACATGTTTAATTTAGTAATCACAAATAAAGTCAGACCTGCAGTCCTGGAAATTGGCAGAATTTACTCATCCTCCAAATTTAGAAAACCAGAAGTCTCCCCTCTAGTTTTTCTGTGTGAAAAGGACCCAATATTTTGAGTAAAGGTGTAAATGAACATTTTTTCAAAATTATATCCCATTCAGTGGGACACTAATTTTTTCATTATGGTCATCATTTGGGTTAATAAAATAGGAACCTAAATTTAATAGCCAGTGTCTCAGATGCAACAAGCAGGTATTTATAGAGTTGGATTCAAACTCAGTATCCCAATTTGTAAGTGACTGGGAAAATACGTGCATATATATTTATAAATACACATACATGGATGTTCTACAATGGGCATACTATAGAATTTGTTTTTCTGCACCTGAATTATCTTGAGATAAACTGTGTTGTGTACAATAATTCACCATATGTGCCAGTTGTTTCTTTCAGTATTCCTGATACTATATTAGAACTTATTATATTTAAAGAAAGCGTTAAGTTCAGCTATTCAGCACTGATGTGGAATTCTTGACCATCACTATCTTTATCTTACTTTACACAAATGAGTTCCAAAAGGCAGCAAGAATTTTATGAAAATAAGTACATAAACTGGTTTGTATTACTAATTCATAGTTTAAAAACTTTCGCTGTTTTATATGTCTGACCCTGATATAGTCTTCAGAAGATGTACCTCTGCCACAGTTAACTTTGTCATAGTGCTAAGACTAACGCAGTGTTCCTGAAGTATTTGAATCACTGACTATCACAGAATCACCTTAAATAATACCATAAAATAACTGGGCTGTTAAAAGGCATTGAGAGGGTGCGTAATTTTCTGGAAGGAATTTTGAGGGTTGATTATGATCTACTGAGACAAAGTTTGCATAGTTGTAGGGACAGATGAAGTTTTAATAGGACTTCCGTGATTTAAATTAAAAGTTATATCATTGAAGAAAAGTCATATCATTAAAAGTCATATAATGGACACCCAGGGGATCAGGCCCAGTCAGCATGGGTTTATGAAAGGCAGGTTCTGCCTGACAAACTTGATCTCCTTCTATGACAAAATGACCCAACTATTGGATGAGGGAAAAGCTGTGGATATTGTCTACCTGGATTTTTGAAAAGCATTCGACACAGTTTCCCATAGAATTCTCATAGAAAAACTGGCTGCCCATGGCCTGGATGAGCTAACGGTCTGCTGGGTCAAGCACTGGCTGGATGGACAGTCCCAGAGAGTGGTGGTCAGTGGAGCTAAATCCAGCTGGTGTCCGGTCACAAGTTGTGTTCCTCAGGGCTTGGTGTTGGGATCATTTCTATTTAACATCTTTATTGATGATCTTGATAAGGACGTAGAGTGTATCATCAGTAAATTCGCAGATGACACCAAGTTAAGTGGGAGTGTCGATCTGCACGAGGATGGGGAGGCACTACAGAAAGACTTGGATAGATTGGATCGGTGGCCAATGTCAACAGTGTGAGCCTCAACAAGGCCAAGTGCCAGGTCCCGTACTTGGGCCACAACAACCCCCTGCATGGCTACAGGCTTGGGGAGCTGGAGCTGTCTGGGAGAGAAGGATCTGGGGGTTCTAATTGACAAGAAGCTGAACATGAGCTGGCAGTGTGCCTGGGTGGCCAAGAAAGCCAACGGCATCCTGGCTTGTATCAGCAATAGTGTGACCAGCAGAAGTAGGGAGGTGACAGTCCCCCTGTGCTCTGCACTGGGGAGGCCACACCTGGAGTGTTGTGTCCAGTTTTGGCACCTCAGTACGAGAGAGATCTCCAGGTGCTGGGGTGAGTGCAGAGGAGGGCAACGGAGCTGGTGAAGGGCCTGGAGAATAAATCCTATGAGGAGTGATTGAAGGAGCTGGGACTGTTTAGCTTGAGGAAGAGAAGGCTGAGGGGAGACCTCATCACTCTCTACAGCTCCCTGGAAGGACATTGTAGAGAGGTTGGTGCTGGTCTCTTCTCACAGGGGATTAGTGACAGAACAAGGGGCAATGGCTTTAAACTGCAACAGGGGAGGTTCAGACTGGATATTAGGATAAATTTTTCACAGAAAGAGCGGTCAGACAGTGGAACAGGCTGCCCAGGGAGGGGGTGGTGTCACCATCCCTGGATGTGATTAAGGGTCGTTTAGATGAGATGTTGGGGGATGTGGTGTAGGGGAGAACTTTGTAGAGTAGGGCTGATGGTTGGATTTGATGATCCCAAGAGTCTTTTCCAACCTGAATGATTCTGTGATTCTGTAACTTAATGTCTCAGTTATGACGTATCTTTTTGGACAAGACCTTGTTTACTGATGCTTAGTATAAGCAGGGCCCCTAATAGCTGTGAGCCTGTATTTTTATATTTGTTTAGAGCCCAGCAATTTTAATATAGTCTAGGTCAAATGACTTATGTGGGTTTGAATTAAAGCTCTTGTACTCCAAAAGAAAAGAGAACACATGGAGGTTTAAACTGGTTTTAAAACCAGTTAAATTGAAAAAGAAATCTTCTTTACATTAAAAGGATTTTAATTCTCTTTTCAGATAAAGCCCAAGACAAAACACAGTCACATGGGTGAAAAATGATGCAAAAGAAAGATGTCATTAGTCTTAAATGAGGAGAAATCTGGGAGATGCAGCTTCTCCTTCTACCTTTAGAAAGCTGCTCTTTAGAAGGTGATGCATCATCTTCATTGGTTTGACCCCGTGACTCCATCTGGTACCAGTTCCTTTTAATTTGGTCAGCAGCTCTTGAAAGTCTCTAACAGTGACTAGCCAGGCACCAGCAGTAATACGGAATCCAGGAAAAGTGTATTCCTTGTTTATCATGGCATTAAATCCCTGCTTAGATTTTATGCTCCCTGCAGCAAAATCTTAATCTGTAGTGAGTCCTGTACATTTAGGGAGCAGTATTAAGTCATTCATATTTGCAATGAAACGTATTATGCCTGAGTGCAAAATAATATTTCACAAGAACAAGTTGAAAAATACAGAAATCATTTTAAAGAGAGAATTGTACTGCTTTGGTTTTATGGTTTTGAAATGGACCCATTTTCTGCAAAATTTTCTATGATATTTGTATCCAAATGTCACTACATGATTTTGTGGTAAAATTAAATTTTCCCAATTTAATTTTAAAATAGAGGTAATGGCATTTGTAGTAAACAAAGCTGAAAGCTTTAAAAAAATTAAAATATTGGAATATTTTGATGACATCTAGATTGTTTCTTGCAGCAAGTTCTGTTTGAGAAGCCAGTTTTCCACAATAGACTGGCACAAACACTTGTAACCAGCTGTTTTTATTCATTATGTTGCTTCAGTTCTACCCTGCCTTATAGTAAAGTTTATCACAAAAATGTCTCTACTGTTTCTACAGTTCTTCACTTTCAGTAAACCATTATATCTGTAGAACTATAGTTTAAAGTAAAATACTACTTAGATATGTTTACTTCAGTAAGCAAGAAACTAATGGCGGGAGTGTCACTAGTCAGAACAATTCTGGTTTTACAAATGTAAAACATTAGGTAAAGTACAGACAATCCATTTACAACACATGATGAACCGTTGTTTCAGAGGCAATGTGCTATGTCAGATTCTCTTGCTGTTGGTCATAACTTGCTTACCGTGAATATGCTTAATAGTTCTTTTTTGTCAATACATCCATTTCCATCAGCATCGTATAGCTTAAAATACCATTTCAATTTTTGGTCAATTTTCCCTCGTATAACCAAGTTTATTGCAGCTATGAACTCCAAGAAGTCTATAAATCCATCCTAAGAGAGAGAGAGAGAAAAAAACACCCTATTTAACAGTGTTGGTTTTTTGTTCACTCTGGCAATTTCACGGAAACAGGTCACCAAATTCACTGTAATACACGATGATTTGTAAAGCACCTTAACACAGAAATCTCCTGTGGTGTTTAAAAAGGATGAACTCATCTGAAAGCACTATAGGAAGGGGCATTAGCACAGACACTTTTGTTCTCTCCTGAAAGCTGTAGGCAGTGGGGGGCAAATCTGTTCTGAGCAATTGTTACTGACATTTTTTGAGAAGAGAAACTGTTTTGTGGAAGACTTCCACATGCAGAAAAGGGGAGTCTGGGATATCAGGTTTGGTACTAACGAGATGTCAGCAGTGGAATTGCTTATATTCATGTGAGTACTGCAGAACTACAGATGATTTCCAATGCAGTAGAGCTGTTCCAGGTGTTCCTTATCTGAGAGATCATGTAGTAAGTGTTGTAAACGGTAACCAGTGACCTGGCATGAACTCCAGGTACTGTGGTTTGTCTGTATAAACATCAGGTCTCTCTGACTAATACATTTTGCATGGGATATAAAGCCTTCAAGTCATTAACTAGTTTCTAAGTAGTGAGGATTGCGGGATAATCATAGGGAAAGAACATTTCAGATGGATTTATTTCCATATTTTCTGCTTCCTTCTCTGAAGCTGTTGATGGAAACCTGTCAAGGACAAGCCTCCATGGTCAGGTGGTCTAAGCTACTGTGACAGTTCCTCTGTTTCTGTATAAAACGTGGTGAGGATGGAAGAAACAGTTGCTGAATTTGGAGTGTACTTGCTCCAACTGTTTCTCATGTGCATATGGAAAGAATTAACAGCTGGGAAGTCTAATCTTGTGATCTTTATGTTGGTCAGAATCCAATTGCTTGGAAAACCTTGGAAATGCTGTCATCAGTTTCAGATGGCCTGTGATTTCAGAAGAGAAGGTTGTATGAGTATCTAGAAGGTATAGCATGTTGCGTATTTTTATTGTCATATGTCAACACACATCTTCCCAGTTGGTTTTGCAATCAGCAGGCATGAATCTGTCCTTGAGACTGTACTAGACTAAAGGAAAAGAAGTCTTGTAAAGGTACGGTGCAACTCATTGCCATATTTGTAGTGCTTGTTTTGATTTCTGTGCAAGGGTGTTTGGAAGAGTGGCACCTGAGAGGTAAATCCAGTGTTTCAGACCCACTGAATTCATTGTACTTGTACAAACGGTGAATGCATGACTTGTGCAGACTGACCATTGCTTCACAGACTGTGCAGGTTCTGTTGGGGTTTCTGGATTTACTCTAATTGCAATCACAGCAAATGCAGCAAAAGCAAAGACACTATTCAACCACTGTTTAGGATTAAATTAAGTTTGGCAGTAACTACATGTGTTTTCAAAGAAGATTAGGTCCAGTATTAAAAGCAGATGCTTTACCAAGAAAAGATACATCATGTAGCACAAACTTTATGCTTCTTTTTGGCACAACAGCTTGAGTTTCCATTTTGCAAGTATTATTTCAAGAAGTGCCTCATCAGGTATCTTACTGAAGGGCAGAGTTTATTTTGCTGATTACATTTCCATTATCTGATTTGATAGATCTGTTAAGAATGTGGTTAGATGCATTTCACATTGCTGCTTTTTTATTGCATTTCATACTACTTACTGAAACTGCAGATTAATTTTAGACTTGCTGGGTGTCCGTGACCAGTTTAATTTTCTTCTCTCTCACATTTCACTTTGGATTTTGGAAAACTGTATTTTGCCTGCTTTCTTGCTATGCCTCGGTGTCAGTGTTGTTGCTCTGACAAAATATCAGAAGTTTGGACAACGTAATAATCATCTTAATGTGTCTGGGTATGTAATTCTGAGCTGGTGGATTGTTTGGCCTGTCCCTCTCAGGAAGGCACTGAAGGCCAAGGTCAGAAATGTCCCACCTCTGAAAAGCAGCTGAGAGAAACTGTGGTTCTGTAGAGATGCAAAGATCACTGGCAACATGTTAAACTCAGCAGCCAGTGCATCAGGAATAAACATACTTAGAAGGCAGATGTGCTTATCTCCGTGATGTGGAACCAGAAGCATTGCACAAAAACATTGAGGAGAAATGTACTTATTTTCCTTCCTACATCGAAACATATATTGTAGGTAGAAAAGAAAACATTGATGTGATGCAGAAGGCTATTGTGATCTTGTTACACATATACAGAGCTTTCCCAGAAAAAGAGAAATACTGTGCTTTTTACAGTAGCATCTAAGAGCCTCAGAATAGTACATTAAATAATGAAAAAAATCTTAACAGTAATCTATGTGTATCATCCTGTGGTTTTGTGAGTACAACAAATAATACAATAAAAGTGTTACGATGTTATTAAAAGAATACTGCTGTGATGATTTACCTATCTGCTGCTCCATAACCATTCACAGTACAAGTATCTAGGTAGGTCCTTATGCATTTCCAGGCTCTGGAAAACTTCACTCGGTGTGGTGCGCACAGTAAAGTGTCTGTTACTTATGAGGATGTCAGTAATTCACAAGCAAAGGACTACAATAAAAATAATAAATAATAATAAAATAAAATTATACCACCCTCCCCCCTACAACTTAATAACCAGAGCTGATTACCAGTGGTGGAAGAATTAAATAATGTACTTCTGGTACTTTACTCTGTTATTCCAAAGGGGAAATTCCTAATATTTTTATTAAATGGACTTAATGCGGGTGAAGCCTGCTTATTTGGCACCTTAGGGTACTGGATCGATTTGGATGATAAAGGCATTTCTTGTGCATGAAGGCTTATTTTCCGTGTCTGGAAGACTTATTTTTCACTGTCCCTGTCTTCCTTGGCTGCGCACGTTACACTGGGAAACCATGGGCCTCTGGAGGGCCAGTGAAGTCCTGCACCCTTCCTTGCAGGAATGGGCAGAGCCAGCTGGGGTAAACTCACAGGATACCCCCTCTGGGTATGGTGTAAAATAGTAGGGCAGAAATCTCCTAGTGTGGTTCTGAGGAGTGGGCTGGAGAGACACCAAAAAAATGGGTTCAAAACTTCTTTTACATGCCACAAAGTCTTCGGGACTTTCTGCTTAAGATAGTAGACTTAATAAAAATAAATAAATAAATAAATAAATAAATAAATAAATAAATAAATTTTTTTTTAATTTTACTCTTTTAACTGCTTGACCAGATGAACTGGAAGCTTAAGGACGCATCATTATGGTTGTACATGTGTTTGTGCCCTTTGATGCTGTGTTTTTGTAGCTTGTTTTGCTTTCACTGATGAGTGATTGTTTAAGCCACTCGGAACTGTTCAAAAAACAAAGACAAAAGAAGGGTCCAGAACTGGAAGGAGAATTTACTGATGATGTGAAATTGGTCATCACAGCCCTGAGGGCACCGCCAGTCCTGGCTGCCCCTGCCCAGGGCCCAGGCCCCATTTCAGTTGTTCGTTACTGAATCTCCTGAGGAGAAAGCAATTTAATATCTTTTTATGAGATGTTTTTGCTTCAGAATGTCAGCCTATGTGCAGTTGCTGGAGGCTGCTCACTTTTGTTCAGTGAGTATGGAGATGTGTGTCCTGTGGAGGCAGTCAGGCAGTGGGGGACCATAGAGTTACACAACAGCAATTAATACCCCAGCCCCAGAGCTGTAGGAGGGCATTATCCTTTGATTCCCAGAATAGCATTCCTAATCTTCACAGATCCTTAAAAAACTCTCACACCTTCAAACTATTTGAATACAGATTAAAAATAATTGACTTGTCCGCTATGAATATGCAGCTGATCTTAAGCGGCACAGTAGTTCAAGGTTGGGCCAGAATGATCTGAACTTGACCTTTTGGCTGGCTGCCTAGCTCTTACCTGAGAGTGATTTTCTAGCAGCGTTGATGCAGTGCTACTGGGATTGCCATCCATCTCCAGCCACACACCATGGCTATGCATGTGGGAAGTGACAATTTCTGTCCCTGCAAAACCCTACAATGAATTAACTCATTGTCTTTGAGCACTGAGGACTCTACCAAGAGTCTATACACAATAAGCTGTGTCTTACAAAATTTGCTCCCGAAAAATCTCTAAACTCAACCTGTCACCAGGAGAATAGCTCAATAGGCTTTATCAGGATTAAGTGTGCAAATATAGATAGTCTAGGTATTTTGAACCTTCCCTCCCACCTCCTGTCTTTCAGTATACTACTTAAACCTCATAAGGCAGAGGGAGAAGGCACAGGTTAAAAGGCAGTTTACAACAGCTCAGAATAATTGAGAAATTTATAGCTAATCATATGTGCTTCCCTTTCTCTCTAGAACCCATTTCAAATATAGTGATGCTTTCTCTGCCCTCAGAAACCTAAAGGATTGTTTACACTCCATTTTATCTTCCCCCATTTCCTTAATTTCTTTTGCTTCTAAAGGCATTCATCTGTTCCTCAAAGGTTACATATGCATTACTGAAGAAATAACAGAGCAACTTATGACTCTATTACTTTGACACATACCTAAGGTCTGATATTGGAGTTTGGGGCTTGGAGAGACCTCCAGATCCCTCACAGGCTATGGCTAGAATCACTGGTTTCCCGAGTAAATAAAGTTGGCATTTGTCATGGAGTAGGGGGAGACTCTTGGCAAGGAAAGGCTATTAGATAAGGATGAAGAACAAAGCAGGGAATTAGGAGCTGTAGATCATTAAGTGGTTTTGTGATAGTTGAAAACCCACTGTTATATAAAGAGAGGAGGCTGTATTGACCAGACTGTTACACAAGGTTCTGCTTTGTCCAGATGGAGTGGACCTGTGAGATTTGGGGACTTAGAAAATACCAGGACATTTGTTAGAGGAGTTGGAAATGCAGAGCCAGCTATGAGTCTTGGCTCTCAGGCTTGTAGGCTACCCATAAAACCTGGTGAAATCCAAAATGTTGATGGCAATTTTATTTCTTTAAAATTAACAAGCACTTGCTGCCATCACTCACGACTTTCAAGATGACTGGAGAAGACAGGGAAATCAC